AGAAAGTCTCGGCATGCGAAGAGGCCATGCTGACAAACTTGCCGGAAGGCGAGTTGGGCCGACTTGCCAAAGCCCTGAAAGATTACAGGAAGCTGAAGGTCTTGCGCCTTCGCGACATTGAGGTGGGTGAAGCAGAGGCCGAGGAGTTCTGCGAGGTGGGCCGCCATGCCGCGAGGGCGCTTGTCATAGACAAAGCTGTTTTTTCAGGCACTTGGGCTGAACGACACCATCACAAAGCTGGAGATCCGAATCGCTTTTTCCCATCTAGAACGGTGTTCGGCTCTGTGGAAGGCACGAGCTTTCACGGTGACAGAGATGCGGTAGCTTTTGCTCCCGGCCCCGTTGCTCCCCTGAGAGGCACTCGCAGATGCACTGAAGTCCAACTGTACGATCACCCACGTCAACCTCGAGGGCAACGACATCCGGGACGATGGCGTCAAGGCCAGGCGGTGCCCACGGGGTCTTCGCATCTTGCAATTTCGACCCCGCTTGTCTTCTGAGAGGCACTGGCAGATGCCTTGAAGTCCAACTGTACGCTCACCCACGTCAACCTCGATGTTTACAACAACATCAGAGCCGAGGGCAGAGAGGCCAGGGCGCTGCCCACGGGGTGTTTGCAGCTTGCAGTTTGGACCTCGCGCTTAAGTTTCCTGAGAGGCACTCGTTGATGCCGTGGAGTCCAATCGCACCGTCACCGTCAACCTCGGCTTCCCGCACGGGATCATAGGCAAGGGCGCCAAGGCCAGGCGGTGCTCTCGGGGTTCCAGGCGGCAATTTGCATCCCGCAGATGCTCTGAAGTCACCACCATACTCTCACCCGCATTGACCTCGCATGGAATCGAAGCAGAGATGAGACCTTGGAGGCCAATGGCACTGTCACCGTCAACCTCCTCCTCCGCCTGCTCGGAATCGGGGGCGGCGAGGCCGGGGGCTCTCGGGGCCGGGGTCTTCCCAGCTTGCAGCAGATGCTCTGAAGTCTCCTCTGAAGTCTCACCATACTGTCACCCGCATCGACCTCGCATGGAATCAGAGATGATAAGGTTTGTCGGGCCGTGGGGCACCCGAAGCTTCGGTCAGCTTGTGGCTCGATCTGAAAGTTGCTGCCAGGACAACGAAGAATCGGCGGAGCACCCTGCAGATGCAACGAAGTCCCAGGTCGGGGCCCTAGCAGCCCTAGCATCCTCCAAATTGCGGGGTCCTGCATGTTGTTCCTGATGCTTTGCTGTGTGCGTCGTGCGCCCGGGTCTACGACATACGGATCTTCAGCACCTCCGGAACTCCGGAGACAGCAGGCTCTTGCCGTAACAGGTTTACAAACTCACGAAAGAGGCAGAGACCTTGCCTTGGAGTGCGCAGCCGGGGCGAGGTGGCCGAGGCCTTGCAGGTTCTGGCCGGGCCTGCGTGCCGCTTTGCCTAGGCAGAGCAGAGCAGCTGATGTTTGAGAGAGTAGTGACCCGAATCTGCTGTTGCACACTGCGTGCCCGTCGGCCTTTGCTGGGTGGGTCCCAACGATGAGGTCAGGATGTGTTTACACACTGACGTCCATCGCTGATTGCAAGTGCTTGGTTCTTCTATGTTCTTCTGGAGGGCATCTGCTGCCTGAGTACCCTTCGTGGGGCAGGTTGACTATTCTCCACAAAAACACGAAACAACAACCCGTTCCACATGAGACGGTGGTCTGTGGGGGGGTGGGGAAGAGGGGGGGGCGGGGGCAGGTCAGAGCCGCAAATGAGCCCTCTCCAACATGCTTAGACTCTGCCGAGGCTTGGACGGGGAAAGTGCGCATCAAGGACTGCTGTGCCGTTCTCCGGGCAAAGTCCGACGTGCTTAGATGCACTGTGGTTCCCGTGCCAGAAGCTCGCGTGGCAGCTGACGACCAACAGCCGCACCACCCGTCTAGAACTCAGAAACTGGGACATCACAGACGAGGACTGCCAGGCGCGGTGCCCACAGGGACATTGCAGCCTTAGACAGGTATGCTTGCAGTTGACGATCAGCCGTACATTCACCAAAATCGAGAATTCATGTCTTTGTGGCTTGAGTCCCGTCGCGAGGCTCTCGCAAACGTTCCAAATTTTCTGACGAATTCGGATGTAATTTGCAGTCACCTACTCGTACATCAACTGCGCAAGAAACCAAGCAGGAGACGATGAGCCCGGCCCGGGGTTTCCGCTGAGAGGCACTGGCAGCTGCCTTGAAGTCCAACTGTACGGTCACCCACGTCGACCTCCGTGGCAACGAGATCGGAGCTGAGGGCGCCAAGGCCAGGCGGTGCCC